CTTTCACGTACAACACACAAGGCACTCCATTCTCATCTTTTCCACGTTTAAAAACACAGCATGTTTTATGCTTCATCTCATCGCTTTGCCTCCAAAGTCAAGGCCAGCAAGCTAGTCATGCCAGAAAGGAGGACCAACGGAGGGGCACTTTGCCACCTCTCGTTCTTCCAAATGTTTTAAGTTGTGGGGGCCTTTTTACTAATAAAAGTGTTCATGCACATACATTAAAGAAAAAGATGGGCCAATCCATTAGGCTACAGACAAAAATAGCATGGAAGGCGTGGAGCCTTTCATGCCTTTACCACTGATCTGTGCTTAACCCATGTCATGACCAACAGCCATTGACTCATAACAGCGACCTTCATGAACTGAGTTGCTGGTGATGCAAAAACTTCCTTCTGAGAGGCAGGCATCTCAGAAAAAGCAAAATTAAACTTAATAACTCCACAATAATTCTCCAAGGAGATTTAACAGACTGCCAAAGCACAGAGACCAAGAGACACTCACAGGCTGGGCATGGTTCTGGACCTGCTGGCAGAGGGTTACAGCTTGCTGGAGCTGTGGCCACCTGGGGACATGTCCTCAGCCATCCCGTCCATAACATCACACAGAAAAGGCAGAGGCTGGGGAAGAAGCACCAGGGACTGGGTCCAGCCAGTCTACAGCTACGACTTAAGACTGCAAAATGGGTTACAAATTTCTCACAGGGTTGGTAAATGCAACAGAGTCCTTCCAGAATCAGCCTCCCACAGAGGCCAGGCACCAATACATGCATAATTCCTCTGGTTTCAGCATGAAAGCTGCCTTCTTTCCATAAATGACCAAGATCATGACAACTGAAAGCACAATATTCAGGAGTTTGTGGCCATGAAACATACTTGATACGGATTTTTCCCTACGGCCCTCTTTAGAAGAAGCACAGGAAATACCAAGCACAGGTCTAACATCCAATATTTCTTCTACGTTGAGAGTAATCTGACAAAGTAAAAGGAACTCTGCTGGACCCTGCTGCTGACAACATTTTAAATACAGTTTTCTGACCAGAGTAGATCACGCAGTCTCCTGTATGACAGACAGCGGCAGGTTCTCCTCACAGAACTGAAGTCACTAATGAGCTACAAAGCATTTCCATGACTGTAATCACTCTCAAAATTATTACAGAATACAAATGAAACCAGAATGAATAGAGAGAAATATTTTCTGAAGAGCTTGATCATACTTAACCGATCACCATACTGACAAGATAAAAGTAATCTTGCAAGCACGGTGATGCACTGGATATATCGTATCACACAAAAAACATTCAAAGGGTCACCTTCCTCCTCAGATGAGTGGCTGAAATTCGGCAAGGACAATCAGCTGAGCTCCACCTGAACACAGGTAGAGAATTTGACTGAAGAAGAGGAAAATAATGTTAAAGAACGAGGGATGTAGCAAAGGAGGTAGACCCAAAACTTGCTGTCGGAGTCTCAGTAACAGGTGACTTCATTTCTAAAACAGGCATGATCCTTGATCCTTAGCTTGGACGCCAAAGCCCCCAGCCGACTGAAACAGATGTCCAAATTGCTGAGTGCAATCGTCAGCAATGGCGAGTGCACCGAACAACCACGCCGCTGGCCCGCTATGCCCCAAGCCACAGAGACCTCCCCACCATGTGAGACTGTTACTACAAAAGGCCAAACATGCACGTGAAGAAAGTGGGGGAGCAAGCAAGGATCTCACCAACATCCCCGCTCTTTGCACTGTAGGATGCAACAAGTAAAAATACCCACACTGCTAAGGGCGGCTTAATATTTATCATTATACTTAGTGCTCTTTGTGCAGTTGCACCCTTAGAAAAAGCTCTTTCCAGACAAAGAGTCAGAGTTTTACAAAGGGGGGTGCTTCATTCCCACTGGTTTCAGTGTGGTTCACAAAAAAAAAAGCTTCAGCCAAACTCCTATCGGCTTCCTGCACGAAGGCATACATAAAGGAGGCCAGAAAAGAGGGGACTGTAGTCAGCAAGGAAAGAAATGACAACATATCCAGCAGGATGCATGGCCAGCCTTTGGAGGATGGAGGAGAGGAAAATGGGCAGAGTTCACCAATAGTGTTAGCTGAAGAGGAGGAAATGGAAGGAACTGGAGATAAGGTCAAGGTTGCTGGACTGGAAAACTGCCAACAGTGGGAGAGAAGGGAGGGAATGGGAAGAAAGAGGAGGATGTGCATTTTACCCAGCAGGAAACCAGTTGAGATGAAATGCAGGGGAGGGGGAGCCAGAGATAGGAGATTGGAAGAAGGGCGGGAGGGCAGGAGGGAGGGGGAAATCTCAGGAAGTCAGCGTTAAGGTAGTAGCTGAAATCACACAGATGGATTCCTCATGCCTAAAATAGATGCATTTGGAAACTGTGGGTAAGAATTACCACAGCTGCACCCCAGCACTCTAACTCAGCTACTCTGAGGACCTCCATCACTGCAGAAACCCATGCCCTTCCCGTTCCCTATAGCTGACATTTTCCCAGCCATGGGAAGACGACTGACTCAGCACCCTGACGGGCAATAATAGCAAGGTTAATCTGGTTACATCCTAAGAAGCACAAATTGTCCATATAGGCAAAAAGCGATATGGTGTGTTTTGGGGCACGCATCACTCAATTTCCTCTCCCCGTCTGGTTTGTCAAACATGCACTGTCTGTATTAGATGGACATCTGGCTTTTCCACTTGCTAGGTTTTCATAGTGTTTGGTAGCTCAGAAATGGTTCACTCCTCATCCTCAGACATGTGGCTGAGGTGTCACATAGTTATATAAATGAATGGTGCTAAAAGACGGCTCAGAAGTCACCAAAAAGGATGCCATTATATTTATAATAAAGCTGTTGAGAAATGCCATCTTGATCATTTTTCTAGTTTACTTCTGCTGAGGCTGAACCTCGGCAGAATGAGAAGCTGAGTCATTTCAAAATGCAAAGTTTCTTATTCTCTTTGGCCCCAACTAGCCTTGGAGTTGCTCCAGGCTTACAGTAGCAGAGATGAGACTGGAAGTTAGCTTGTTTAACTCATCACTTATACAAGGAATTTGTAATTCAAAAAGAAAACAACTGTACATCTATGTCGTGGTGTCAAATGGTCACCTGGGTAGAATTACATCGCACACTACTTTCTGTTTCATCCACAGCCACAATTACACTGCCAAAAGAAAGAGCTGCCCAGCGGTGAGATTACCAGCCTAATTAAGAGTGGGGGGCTCTAAGTTATGTATCTGATGCGTTGGAGTTCCCAAGCGCTTGGAGGAAGCACCTTATCTTCCCTGTGCACAGGGTTTGTTGACCACTGCACCTCTGAGACCCAGAGACCCTTCTCCAAGACACGTCTTTAAGAAGCACAAGTCCCAAGGGAACAAAGGCTGTGGAGCCGTGCATGACCCATCCAATGCTTCCTAGGTAAGTCGGTGCTCTTGCTGCTCTGCAAACCATTGTGGCAGTTCAGAGCATTTGAGACGGCTGTAGTGTGGATCTCCGATGAGTTCAGCCCTGGAAAGAACAGCCCTATCTCTGCTGCCGGGACAGATCTGGCACCGCAGTGTCCTGAGAGGCTCCTGGTGAGGCTCTTCTGCATCCCTCATGGGAGGCAAGTGCCAAGTACCCACATACCCAGCCCCTCTCCCACTGGGGAAACCACGACAAGAGCTACTCATGCAGACAGCAGTACTGAAGCACCACTGAACACATTTCCCTTTCAGCCCTCACTTGCTCCTCCATTTCAAGCAGATCAGAGCTGGATATTTGCTGGTGTCTGTGATGGGACCAACGCACTTCTCAGAGCTTACTGTTCCCACGTAGCATCAGCCCCCTCCCCATCCCACCAGCCCCACATCGTGCATGCCCAAACCACAAATCCACCAGAGAAGCCCAGTTCTGCTCGAGACACTCCCAGAAACCTCCCACTGGAGCCTGCAGGGCTTGTGGTTCAATCTCCAAGTCTGTAAGGAGATTCACAGTCCAGCTGTATCATTAATAGACTAAGAAAAGAGAGAGGAACTCTGCAGTCTCTCATGCCAGAGCATCCTTGAAGCAGTATGTTAC